GTTTCGGAGGGAGAAGGGTAGCTCTGATGTCATTTAGGGCTGTGCAGTGGAAAAGGTGATGCTCCACAGTCTCATATGCATAGTCACACAAGGGACACATTGGGGGAAGTTCCGGGTTTATTCTGTTCAGGTGGAAGTTGAGCTGTATATGTTCTGTTCGTAGGCGGAAGATCGTGGTCTGTTTGTACATCTCCATAAAACTCACTGATTTATTTCCTTTTGTGCCATTTATGTCCTTTTGTGTCATTTATGTTCGTTTGTGTCATTTATGTTCGTTTGTGTCATTTATGTTCGTTTGTGTCGCTGACTTATGTCCTGTCTTATTGCTTTTTTTCATCATATCACTAGTCACTAGTCTGCTGCATCTCTTTGTTCCTCAGTACATCTCATTTGTCGGGTCGAATGGGTAACGTGCACGCGATTACATGAGACTTAATTCAAAATGCCTCGGTTGGTGGTCGACGGGTGCTCCTTCTTTCCTATCAAACATCTGTCATGCTTATTAAATCTCCCCTCCAACTATTTTGTGTTTGTTACTCTCTTGTAACACCTCTAATCTTCGGCACTTATACGACCTTATTGTGTTACAAGTGCCGTAAAACTCTAACTAAACCTTCTTTTCTTTTTATGTTACTCTTTAGTAGCACCTCTGTTCTTCAGCTTTTGTTGACCTATTTGTATCGCTAGTGCTGTAAAACTAAAAGTTAAACTGATGCCTTGTCTTCCGTGCAGGTGCTCTGGTGAAGAAGATGCTGGAGTCGAAGAAAGAACTGGAGGGAGGCAGCCTCAACCAGACGGGACAGCCCAAGAAGACGGAAATTGTGAGAAAGAAACTGCTGTTGTGGACTTTTTACGTAGATGGAACCTGTACACTTTTTCTCATTTCTTTCCCACTTTCTGTGGGGTTTTTTTGGAGGAGGGGGGGGGGTTGTTTGTTTGTTGTTTTGTTATGTTTTGGGTTGTTTTTGTTGTTGTTGTTTGTTTGTTTGTTGTTGGGGTTGGTTTTTTTGTGGGGGGGGGGGGGGGGGGGC